AACCTCTGGGCTGATCTAAGTCAGGGCATGGCTAACTCACAGATCAAACCCTGAAACAACCTCTAGGCTGATCTAAGTCAGGGCATGGCTAACTCACAGATCAAACCCTGAAACAACCTCTGATCTAAGGCCCCGTCCACAGGTACCTGAAAATTTTTGTATTTTTGTAAATCCTTTTTTTACAGATACGGGTTGCGTCCACACGTGTCTGGAAATTTTTGTATCTGTATCTGGAAATTTTACGAAAACGGAAACGTGTGGACGGTGAAAACGATTCGAATATGCTGCGTGTGGATGCAAACATTTTCATATCCGCAAAAAATAATTTGCGGATACAAAAATTTCCGGATACGTGTGGACGGGGCCTAAATCAGGGCATGGCTAACCCACAGATCTAACCCTTGAGTCAATGAGAAGATATGGTAATAGTTTTTGTAGTCTGTAAAAATGTTCTTCTTATGAGATCTTTTTAGAGTAGTTGGACTCAAGTAATGTATCCTAGGAAAACTAATCAAATATAATCAAAACCATTTAAAATCATTTTATTTGTGCAAAATAGTTAATAAACATCTTGAAATATTTTTGTTAGTGTATAGTTCTTGAGTCTAATTTTCTTTGATCAAGGAACATTTTTATCTCTTCCTTAAACTTCCTTGAAAGTGAGGTGTAAGGGGAGGGGAGGAGGGAAAGAAAGTAAAGGAAGGAGAAAAGAGCAGAGAAAAATAAGAAGAACAGAACAGAACATCAGTTTCAAATTCAGTTTCTTGGCCATGCTTGTTAATAGCCAACTGGTTTGCCTCCTTGCCAGTTGGGATTCTTAAGACACTTTATGTTTCTTTGATTATTTCTTCATTTCAGTTTCATTTCAGTGTCCCCAATTAGTTGTATAAACTAAATACATTGACACTTAAATAAAGTTTTGTTTCTGTTATACATTTTTTAGAGAAAGAGAGATGAGCAGAAAGCAAAGGAAGCACAAGAAAAAAGGAAATGTCTTGATAAAGAAAACTAGATATGTAGTATAAAAACTTATAATAAATATCTCAGAAACCGCCAGGCCGGCTGGTTGTGTATATGATTCAAAGTTGGAGAAAGATAAATATGGGAAAGAAATCATTCGGATAAAAATCACCTCTTGAAATAACTATGGTCTAAATATGCATCTACTGATAAATCATTAATCAACTATTATTATTTAATAATAATCAATAAATTAATAATCTTCTAATAACTACGAAATAAATGAATTCTAATCATCTAATAATATGTAATTCTTATCTTTTCTAATCTATTAATGAAATCTCTTTATCATTAATCGCTACAAAAACAAACTTAAATCATATAACTATTTATGATAAATAAAAGCATTTAATTATTATTTGATAATTTGTAATAAAAAATTAATAATCATGTATTCATCAAAATTGTGCAGTCCCAGAAAAGGGTGCTAATGCTTTTTCTTATCTAAGGTGGCTTTAATTTATTAGTGCATAGGGGAGGAGGAGGGATCGCCAAAATAGTAGGTGGGTTATATAGTTTTGAGAAAATGTTTAGGGGGGTCAGGCCAAACAAAAAAAAAAGTGTGTTTCCTCTTGCTCAATTGATCCTAAATTCCTTGCCGACCCTAATATTTTTTCATTCCCAAATGCACCACAGGGTTCCCAGTAAGCTCATTTCCACTGTTGTATCAGTAAAAAAAATCCGACCTACTGACCCCAATTATTTTCCTCATGCAACGGGAAATACACTTTTTGTTTAACCAAATATTAAGGAAATTTTTGACTATTGCAGAATGGGTGGGTGATACAAGGAGGGTTACATAATTGTCACTTACGATGGAGCGGTGTTGGGTTTATGTTTGTAAAGCTTTCCATGTTATTTTGCCAATTCTTCCCCCCCCCCCCTCTCCCATGCGCTAATAAATAAAAGCCCCCTCAGAATCAATTACTACAACTGTAGTATAAGTGCTGTGTCGTGAAGAGTATCA